AGAAGTCAACACTTAGCGGTGGCAGTCTGTTTCATGATAGATGCAATCGTCAGGCCACGACGATTGCATCTAGTATGAAAAAGACTGTCGCCACTAAGTGTTGACTTCTATGTTTGCTTATATATATATATATATATAAAAGAAAGAGGTTGTAGTGGTTCCAACGGGAGAAAAGTATGTATATTAAAAAGAAGAGAAGAGAGGTGCCGCAAAAGTTTTTGGTTGTAATGTGGATTTATTTAGAAAAAAATATTATGCTTTGTTTTCCATAATTTTACTACACGTTTTTCTGGTCTCGCGGCCGTCCTCTGTTAAAAGCGGAGATTTCCACATATTATTAAAAATAATTAATTATTTCCTTATGTTTTTCAATGTTAAATATTCTCGATATGAGACATTTTCTGTTTTTGTGTTAGTAATCCGAATTTCTTTCTTGAATTGGCAATGAAGAGTTCTGCGCGAAGGGTTATAAAACAATATGGTTGGTCCAAGCGAAATGATGAATTACTTATCGGCATTTTATCTTTTAATGTTTTACTGACCCCAATGTGTTCTTGGATCTGTTTCCATTTTTGTGTGTTCCTGTCAGCATGCGTGTATATATGCGTGCGTATATTCCCCCTCCATACATATACTGTCTTACTACGAGGAATTAATATATATATATATATATATATATATATATATTATAGTAAAAAAAGAAAGAACAGTAAGATATAAATCCGTTGTTCGTATTGTTATTTTTATTTTTACAAAACAGTGTTCAATGTCAATTTACAGAGCATAAATATTGTAAAATAACTGATTTACAAATATGGTTCCATCGCTACACAGGAATTACCATGTTTCAAAAACAGAAACTAAAAAGTTCGTATTCAATTATATAATTAAATTAAAAGCAATAGTTCTTTTAATTCAATTATATAATTGAATTTGAAGTTATATTTCTGTTTTTAAAACATGGTAATTCCTGTGTAGCGATGGAACCATATTTGTAAATCAGTTACATTATAATATATATATATATATATGTGTGTGTGTGTGCGCGTGTGTGAGGGTGGGTCAGCTCAAACTTAATTGTTTTAAGCTGTCATATTCATTTTAGCTTTAATTTCTTTTATAATACGTGCATTTTAATTACTTTTCTAATATTTTTTTGCATTTGAAGTGTATACTTTTATAGTATTGTTATGGAGTATTTTCACAGTGGAGGCTTGTATTTCTAATAAGTCGTCCTAAATTAGGTCCGACGTACAAAACGTTAGGAAATTGGAAAATAAGAGTCAATGGCGCTCAACACCATTCTGCCAGACTTGCCACTGCTACTCCTACTTATTATCTATGGGAGAGTCCATTACAACAGAATAGCTACTATGGCATAACAATTATTCCGGTTAAAATATTGTTTTTCAGGAGACAAAGGGGCCCACCTACAACTACAATGCTACCATTTAGATTTCATAACAAATAATAAATAATAAATACAAAAGCTAAGCAAAGTATTAAGAAACAGGAAAATTTCCTAAGAAACAAAATAAAAAGTACAGATTATGTAATATTGGTCTTCCTGCATGATAGTGAATGCTGGACAATCTCCTTGACGATAAAGAAGCTGCTTGAGGCAACAGAAATATGGTTCTATAAAAGGATGCTGATAATACCATGGAGTGAGCACATAACTAATGGGGAAGTTTTAGAGAAAATGCAAATAAAAAGGATAGTTTTAGTTAACATCAGAAGGAAATATTTTAGATTTGCATGACATATACTCACCTGACATTGAATACAAGAGAGACGAGAGGAAAGCAGATTGGAAATAAATGAGAAATGCATTTTTTTAATACCATTTCTCTCTTTATTCTTTTATTTTTAAACCATTTCACCCCAAACAAGGCGGTAATGCCACTAATACGCAGTTACTTACAGGGCGTGAAGAAGGAGAAGATGGAGAATAAGAATGAGTGAGTAACGGACACAAAGCAAACAGACTTCAAGAGGATAGATGGCGATTAACATTGCATTTAAATTCTTGAAGATTATAGTTATCAAGGAAGCAAGGAAATAGAAGGGACTACAACAGATATGAAGTGTGAGAAAAGAGGATGTTGGAGTAGAAGTGACGGTTGCATTTAACTATTTCAACAGTAAAACGTTGGGACCTAGTTGCCAATCTAGTAGGACCCTTAAATTTATTTAGCCGTGCACCATTAATAAATTTCATATGCCAGGGCTTCTTGACAAACATACGAGAGTAGTTTTCAGTTGAATTGTTCTAGACCAACTGCTACCCAAATCTATAGAAGTCATTCTATCCCATAGCATCGAGGTGGGCGAGAAGAAATAAATGCATGCGTTTCCCAATGATATTAGTGCGAAACTGAACGAAACAGAGACGGTTAGAATTTCAACTCGGCTCAATAGCCATTACGCTTCCCGCACTTCAGGCAACTGGTCGACTAAATCAGCTTCCTTTTCTTAATTTCTTCAATAAAATGCCAGGTTTGGCCCGAAAGTAATATCTCTTATTTTATGACGTTACTCTAATAGATCAGAGGCTGGGTTGATGGTAGAATAGGAGTTATTTAAGTTCCCTCAAATAACCTAAGAATATTTTTTACCTTGTTACATATAGCATCTGGGCGGCAGTATGTTAAATTACCGTCTGACACGAAAGCATGTGGGAAAAAATCTCATCCATTGAGCTTTATCGTGGATGTGAACCCAGTTGATCATTGGTTAACCACCTCAAAAATGGATGGGTAACGGGGGTGATTATGCGAAAAAATATTATTTTGTAGCTGAAAAGTTTCTCTATCCAAAGGTACTATTCTACTGTAACAGTTGTAGCTTTCGCAAAATGAAATAGGAAGCATTATTTTCGAAGTGTCACCTCACCTATTTCGTAAAAAGAAAAAAAAAGGCCAGCGAAAGAAGGATGAAAACTATAGGACAATGGTTAACAAGCTGGTTTCGGTAAAAAAAAATAGAAGGCTGATTGATGAGAGACATGAACATTTAGCATTCACAGGACATCAGAAGCAGGGGTAAAGGTAAATTACTGACTTCATGAGTTTGTGTGAATGGATGACAGAATAAGGAGAAAGAGGACGGTAAAGAGTCATGTTACATAAGGTATATATATATATATATATATATATATATATATATATATATATATATATATATATATATATATATTAAAGAAAAAACAGACCATTTTAAGGTTCCATTATAATAATTTATTTCACCAGAGTCCTTTTAAAGGACTCCGGATCATCAGATAGCACTTCCAAAAATGAAACGAAAAATGAAAGGAAAATTGATGGGTCGTGTAAGTTTTTGTAATTTAACAGAAAGTGTAATAGGAGTAGCTAGAGAGACATGTTAGAGTTTAGGGAGGGTTTAATTTAATATCTCTCTCAATCATACTTAGTATTGGGGGAGGAAGATTGACCAGACCTTGACCTATTTAAACGGTTAGCTTAACGAAAGTGATATGTGAAATGGGAGGGGAGAAGAGAGAAAAGAAAAAGGAAAAAGAAAGAAGAGGGAGAGGGAAGTAAAGAGAAAGAGGCTGTAAATGGTTTTTGCATATTTAGGATATGGTTGGTAAGTTTTAGCAATTTATGTAAAAAATAGATTTTAATGTTTGATAGTAATTTAGATGTCAAACAAACCGCGTCAAAAAATAATTACAAATTACATTCATAAATTAGATTCAAACTGATAAGGATGTTACCATAATTGTCTTTTACAATATTAAAAAAGTACAATTGGTCGGTAAACAAATTGTTATAGTTTTAATCCTTTTTTTTAATATGTTCTCTATGAATGTCTTAATAAATACAGTATTTAACTTATATTAAATCCCCAAATGATTTGTAAAAAAATTAAATATTTAAATTGCTAGCAAGAATCAAATTAATTTCTTCGGGGTTTATATATATATCTTCTTTTTCGAAAAATATATATATATATATATATATATATATATATATATATATATATATATATATACAAGTATATGATTGGTGTATATGGAATGAATTCCAATAACCAACAAATACTATTCTTAAAAGAGTGCTCAATACAAAGTAGAGCAGATATAATTATTTATTTAAAAAAAAATTATAACATAAATATGTAATAAAATCACTACAAAAATAGCCATTTTGTTTCAACACTCTCAGTGTCTTATCAAGTGATGATGTTGAATAAAAAAAAAAAAACCTTATATATATATATATATGCGTTACAATGCATTTGTTTATATATATATATATATATATATATATATATATATATATATATATATACACACAGAGGGGGGAGAGAACATTCGCTTTAGAACATTCGCTTTTAGAACATTAGCTTTCTGGCCATGGGACCTAGGTTCGAATCTCACCACGTTAGATTTGTCAGGAATGAGACTTCCTGAAGTTATCAGTCTCGAGGGGGACGATCACAACGTGCGACACGTTTGGAAAGTGCCTGAAAACATACCACGGGTAGATTCAAACCTTGTACGTTTAACTGGGTAGACAGAACACTTAGGGGAACCATCGATAGCTGTGCTAGCATGAAGTCACAAGTCATCGTGGCCGAAGGTTTCAGTGCACTGGCCTGGTTGAGATTGTTTCCCTCAAAGAAACTGTAACTAAGGTCTGCTCAGCATAGTTGCAGTCTAAACCACTGCTGTGGATGTTGAACAAACATAATGTGCCTGAGCGAACGTCTAGTAGACAGATATCCTCCAATACGAGTGGCAAGCTATTATTTTTATTATATATATATATATATATATATATATATATATATATATATATATATATAAGGAATTTTCAAACTAAAGTCTTTAATCTCAAGAAGTCCATTTGAAAGGAAGAAACGCGTTACAGTGCATTTGTTATTTTGTCATTCAATTACCCAACATTAATCGAACATATAGAATTTGTATAGCATGCGTACACTAACGCATACGCATATATATATATATATACATATATATATATATATAGATAGATAGATAGATAGATAGATAGATAGATAGAGAGAGACAGACAGACAGACAGACAGACAGACAGACAGACAGATAGATAGATATCTGTTAACCCCAATCAATTCTGGTTAGAGCTGCAACAAATGTTGAGGAACAAATATATATTGGTATAAATTTTAGGCATGTTACTTCATGTAACCAGTTATATATATATATATATATATATATATATATATATATATATATATATAATGTAAGGTACCTTAACTTACAACTCGCGATCGTCTTTGGTTTCGTGTAGCTGGAATGATAAACAGCGCCATCTACGCCCAGAACATTACTCAAGCTGAACTGATGCCCATTCCTACCCCAGAGAAGCAATGCAGTGTGCCTTCCCACGTGCTGCCCATGTTACTCATCATGTTCTATAATCGCCTGACCTGTCCCCCATTGAACAAGATGATATAATAGGACGACGCTTGACATGTTCAGTTAGCCGACCTACAACTCTTGACGTATTGCGTCAAGTGCAAAAGGTATTCAATAATATATTGCAGCTTGGTATTTGCCAACTGCCCGATTGTATGCATATGCGAATACAGGCCTGAGGTAAAGTCCAGAGAAGGGGATATGGCGTAGCACTTATTTTAGAACCTCTACAGACATTGATTTTATCCAGCTATATTACTTTTGCGTTGGGCATTTCTACACGGTGGAATGGTTAGCAAGCTTGTCTAGTTAGATCAATTACGGCTGAATAGTGAGTTTGACCCTCACTGGTGCTCCATACTTCTGGCCGTGTACCACAACTATTCCACGCTTAGTAAATCACTATTAATACTTATATGGTGTGAACCCAAGCCTCATTATTTATTTCTCTTGTTGTTCCAGGGTCCCATCATTATATCTTAAATTCTGATATAGAGAAATGAGGAAAACAAAGTAGAAAGGAAGCTAACAAAAATATTAATAAAAAAAGTAAATCCATTTTGTGCTGAATGTGAAGGTAATCCTTTCCTTTCCCTGAGTATTTCCTTGTCAATTCAAATTTTCCTATGTGCTTTTATATGTTTTCTTTTATATCTTTTCAAAAGATCAGACATAAGAATATGATTTTTTTTTATTTATTAGGAATGCGATTTCTATTAGATTAGAATTCTTGTCTGTGTATATCTCTAAGATGAAGTATTATGATTACTTACATCATTCGGACTGTTATCCTCATCTTCATGGACATATTCACAACGTTTCGGCCTCTATATCTCTGAGATGACGTATTATGATTACATCATTCGGACAGTTATCCCCATCTTCAGGGCCATATTCACAACGTTTCGGCCTCTATATCTCTGAGATGACGTATTATGATTACATCATTCGGACAGTTATCCCCATCTTCAGGGCCATATTCACAACGTTTCAGCCTCTATATCTCTGAGATGACGTATTATGATTACATCATTCGGACAGTTATCCCCATCTTCAGGGCCATATTCACAACGTTTCGGCCTCTATATCTCTGAGATGACGTATTATGATTACATCATTCGGACAGTTATCCCCATCTTCAGGGCCATATTCACAACGTTTCAGCCTCTATATCTCTGAGATGACGTATTATGATTATATCATTCGGACAGTTATCCCCATCTTCAGGGCCATATTCACAACGTTTCGGCCTCTATATCTCTGAGATGACGTATTATGATTACATCATTCGGACAGTTATCCCCATCTTCAGGTCCATATTCACAACGTTTCGTCCTCTATATCTCTGGGGTGACGTATTATGATTACTTACATCATTCGGACAGTTATCTCCATCTTCATGGCCATATTCACGTTCCGACTTTCTTCAGGTGATTGGAATTTCGTCCACGATCTCTTTGGGGTGTCTCAATTTTTTCTCTTTAATTCACTTCTCCAAGTTTTGGTTCACCACTGCTGTAGCCTGATATTGAACTCTTTGTGTCTAAAGACTGGATCTAACCAACGCCTTTATGCACTGGACCATATGTACTTGAAGACAACTGTGTATACATTTTGGAGACTTATAAACCTTAATGTCTCAGCCTCATTTTTTTTACTAATGCTCATATTGCAATTTTCTGTTATCATTATTGTATATTTTTTACCAGAGCTTATATTGCAATTTTGTGTTTTTAATTAATTGTTTTTCTCTCGGACTCTTTATTACTGCTTCCCATATTGTATTCATTTCTATACTTGATCGACTCAGGAGATTTTTAAGACCTAGAACGTGGCACGTGGAACTAGAACAATCTACCCCTGTGGATGAAATAAAGGGTTCGTTCGAAATTCTAATCACCTGAAGAAAGCCGTAGCGTACAACGACGGAAACGTTGTCAATATTGCAATGAAGATGACGATAATAGTCCGAATAAGGTAAGTAGAATTCTTGTGTTTATTTTACTGGTTGTGGGCATTATTTTGATTTCCTAAGTAAATAAAGTATACTTTTTAAATATTTCATAATATTTTGCCAATTAAATTTTCTGTTTACTCAGTCTTTTTTTAGTTTATCTGAATGCACAGTACAGCTCTGTGTATGTAAAAAAAAAAAAAAAAATGACCACCAAATATAAAAGTAGAAATCCTGAAAGGAAAACGAAATAAAAAATGAAAACATCAAAAATATTTAAATTTTTTTGAAAAAAAAATTGGTTCTGATGTACCATAATCTCATAAGCAATCATAGCATATCACCCGCAGTAATCCTCATAGAAAAGAAATTAGAAAATGACGCTCCGAGGGTGGGGGGCGGTCGTGTGGGCCTTGCTGATATACAACCACCACGACACTCCGGTGGGTTGTGTGGGAGCCAAAGTGTTAAAACAAATCGTAAAGAGAATACAGTGGGTCCCTCGTATTTGTTGGTGTTAGGGACCAGAACCGGCCGCGAATAGTTAGATTCCGCGAATACTTGTAACCCCCGCCCCTAAAAGTGCTTTTAAGTACGTGTTTGGATTGTTAAAACCCCATATGCCTTAAACTTTCATCTCAAACACTTTAAGAAACATTTCAGACCCTTTTTAAAACATGAAGAAATGCAAATGATCAAGTGAAACAGCAACGAACGGTCACGGCTCAATGTATCGTAATAATACTTGGTTACAATTTTGGGAACATATTTCAAAATCAAATATATGTGTATCGTGTAAGTGATATATAGATTTTCTATCACTCCTATTTTTGTATACACTAAATTTGTACTCATGCAGATAGTTTGATCCTGTGTAAACCAAGCTTTTCTAATATTTCAAATAGCTCTTCATGTATGAAAATATATTTATATTTCAAATAGCTCTTCTGTCTATAAAAATGTCTTTGCGCAGTCTATTAAACATAAGTATAAATCTTTCTGTATTTGTATCGCTCTCTCTTATAAGATCCTGATCATAAAAATAGTATTTCTTGTTCCAGTGTTTTAAATAAAACCTTGCTTTATTTCCGTTCTATTTCTGCTACAGGCTCTATTTAAGCTCTATTTATTAAAATCTTAAAATTATTAGAATGCGGTACACCAGGCTGGTTGTCCTATAGAGTTAACATTCATTTGTGTCCGGTTTCTTTCACAATGTTACAAATGTTACAGAGATTTCCCAGTATTTCACCGCTGTCGTATCATTTCATTAACTTTATCCATCCAGAAATTGTCTAAGCTTGTCAACATCTCATCCGATACTGCTGCTTTGTTTCTCTTCATCATAGCCAATACCAATCTTATTTCAGAATTTAATACGATCAATCCTCCTATGTTTTTTTTTTATGTTTGTTTATAAATTCTATGTTTCGCTCCTATGTTATCAATGAAGAGAACTTCCATCTATACGTTCCATCTGTAGTATATTTTCTTTTTACATTATGATCGTTTCTTTTTTTAGATGCTATGCATCCTGATGGAGAGCATCGTATCAGTCCTGCTATTGTTATTTTTATGTTTGCTATATTTGTGTAATCTGGCATTTCTGCGTGCGTTGGGTCATTCATATTTTGCTTACTTGAATTCATTTCTAATGTTTTCTATTGTCGATCTTTCATTAACGCGAGAAATACATCTGTCATTTACTTCTTTTCTTATCCCTTTTCGCTTTCGTCGTTATTACTATTTCTACACTTTAATTGTTCCACTGGCTTTTTTACGGCTCTATATTTTATCTTTACTACAATTGTATATGGTTTACGGCCATATCACGTTGAAACACCGGTTCTCGTACGATCACTTAAGCAGTATTAGATTGGTAACCTATTTTTATCATTTTACAGTTGAAATGGCTAGACACAACCGTAAGTTCTATGCTAACAGTTTCTTCTATCGCACTTGTGGGACTCTCTTCTGGCTCCATGCTTTTCAGCCAACATTTATCTTCAAAAATATAAATGCAATGTCAATCGTTATCTACTGTCTTACTGATTACTCTTCTATTGTTCTCGTTCCTTAGTAATGTTTCTTTTTTCTAATTCTTTAACACTGGGTACTCCCTTGTGTCTTAGTGGCTTTACTGCCTTGCTTGGGGTAAATTCGATTAAAAAATGTATTTACATAACTCTGAATTATATTGTTGCGTTTTGCGCATGAGCAATCTAGGGTATATTAATTATTGTCTTTTAATCGTCTCACAGAATCATTTTTGTCTTCCGTTAGCATGTATGATATTAATCTCCAAGACAGTCACTCATTGCGCCTTCTTGGGATAAGATTTCTGCTAACATGAAGATTATATTGAATCAATTGCTAAATCTAGAGTTAGGAAAGTTGGTCCACTGTGTTGTGCTAGACAATTCTTGCCAAAATCTATCTTAGACAATTATAATTCTACCAATCATCCATACAATGAATATTGCTGCCACATCTGGTCTGTGGTCTATGTAGCGAGAGATTTTTGACAAAGTCCAAAGAAAAATATGCAATATTAGCGGTACTGATCTGACATCTAACCTTCACTCACTTTCCCAACGTATCTTCTCTGTAACTGTTCTATAAATATTTTCACGGTAATTTTTCTGATGACCTGTCCTCTTTGGTAATCTCGACTTTACAAATCTATCTAGATTGGCAGTTAGATATCATTATTTTACGGTTGAAATTTCGAGATGTAACCATAATTTCTATGCTAACAGTTTTGTTCTCCGGCACATCTTGATTTTGGAATTCTTTTCCAGTTTCTTTCTTTCCGATTTGAACTTCAAAGATTTCAATGCATTATCAATCGCCGATTCTGTCGCCTTAATTCCAGTTCTTTTATTGTCCTCTCTCCTTAATAATGTTCTTTTACATTCAATAATACAGTGCCTTACACATAGTAACCCCCCACTTGTGTCCTAGTGGCTTTATCGCTTTGCTTGTGGTGACTTGATTAAATATATATATATATATATATATATATATATATATATATATATATATATTAAGAAATGGACAAGGTCCGA